TCATCCAAAGGTCCTCCATCTGCGGGTAGAAGAGTGACTGGCGCAAGTGGCTCTTGGCAGGTCTCTCCTGGTGCTCTCTTTTGGGTTCACTTTGGGCACTGGTTGATCAAACCACATCCGTTTTTGCACATGTTTTTTTCCCCAAAACACATCAAGGCCTATCATAATTTAATGTTCACCATAAAAGAGAACTTCTGAGACATATCATTGGATATACCCTATTCTGGAGAGTCTCATGTTGATCATAGCTGGGCGAGAAATAGTCCATCTTGATTCAGCATGTTGTACAATCAATATCTACAGCTTGCAAGTACATGTCATATGTCATACAACTTGAACCACATGTCTGCACATTGACAGTATATGAAATCAGTACTAATTTCTGTTCTCAACCTATTCTGGGGCTATTTCAAATGGGGTGGGCACCATCAAAAGTAGAAACGGGACATGGATGGGCATGGAATATTTCAACGCACCGTCCATCTCCCCAAAGAGCTGCGCAGGCTGCGCACCTCTCCGGCAGGCAATCGCAAACTGCTCATGGACGTTGTAGGGATGGCAAACCTTGACCCAGGCAGTTTTTGCGGCACCAAAGCAAGTTGTCGCCATGACCATGCTGACCCTGATCCTCACCCAAACCCTCATCCTCGTCCTCATCATCGTTGTCGCCGTCGTCGTCGTCGTCGTCGTCATCATCATCATCATCATCCCCACCCTCATCCTCATCCTCATCCTCATCCTCATCCTTGCCACTATTCTCACTATAGTGTTTTACTCGTGGTGTTGTTCCCATTATTATCATTACAACTGGTCCCAGTAGCATCTTCGTTCCCCCGAGTGTCCCGCCTGATGACTGACCGCGCTTCGCAGTCCTGGAAGATCTGGAAGGGGTGTGACTATGCGACTGTAGCGTCTGCTAATTGAACATAGCATAGCTATATATATCTATGGAAAATGGACCATTTATAGGTGATTTACGATGATATACGATGATTTATGATGATTTATGATGATATTGATGCTTAAACATTGTGATTTTCCACAGCATGCATAGCTATGTTACCATCGGCAGTGCCTACAAGGAGAAAGTTTACTCTTGCAATCTTGTGCGGATACCTTTTTTTTTGACATCGAACAAATCATCAGTCTACCAGTCGATGCTGGGGATCAACATCTCCACTTTTCACATCAGGCCTGGGCCAACGGCTGACCATCTCCATCCATCCTATCGTCCCTGGCCTGTGCACCAAAGCCCTGCCGATCATTGTACAAGACAAAGGTGAAGATGCCACCCAAGCGAGGCTCCTGCTGCGGCGAATGGATGCTGGTTGCAGTCACAACTGAGCAATGGAGGCGAAGTACTGGAAATGGCATGATGAACAACATTGAACAACTATATGACAAGGGTGGAGCAATCTCGCCTCCATTTTGCGCCGGCAGGAGAGCTCAGCATGATGCGCATGGGTGTGACGAATCAAGCGAGTATGTCAGAGTATGTCAGAGTGAAGTGAATGGATTTGTGAATGCCATGGCTCTAAGACCGCACCTTGATGTCGTTGCAGTGAACATAGATGTCACCACCATGGAGACTGCTGCGGATATTCCTGGCCAAAAGAACCACGCAAAACGCGAATCATGCCCAAAACCACAAATCAACAACATTCAACAACAGTTTATAGCGAAAGCCATGATTGTTTCCACATGCGGAATCCCGCATCCGGCGTCCAATGGGGATCCGACGGGATCCCATGGACTGTCCTCTCTTGCGGAAGGTGAATGGGAGAAAGCCATCCAAAGGAATGAAAGCCCTGGGCCCACTGGATCTGCCATCCCAGCTTCGCATGGAATTCTAGAACTGGTTGGAGACTTTGCAGGAAACCCCCATGTAACATGGGAGTGAAAAGCACTATGTATCATATGTATCATGCGACGGTCATGCATTCTTGAACATGTCCACTAACCCTACGTTTTTCCATATTTTTAAAAGAGGTATGTAATAAGTAATATCTACACATCTACTAATCCAATCCAATCCAATCTAATTTATCTGGATATCTATCAGAATCTATCTTACAATATTTTCCCACGAAACTGCCATGTATTTTGCGGATATTTCTCACGTTGGCATCACCATGGCATCCGCAGTCCCTCCCGCGCGCCTTGTTCTGCCATTCCACCAGGACCCCAACTCCTCTCCCTTCGAAGTTCCGAGCACCCCACGTCCCAATATTGGTGGCATCCTGCGTTCCGTCAGCGGAATCGGGATAGTTGGTACGCTCTGGTAATTTGAATAGGGATTTAACATTATTTAACTAGAGAAAGTATAGGAAAGTTGTGACTTAACATTGACTTAACTATGGTAATTTAACAGTGTGCTATGAAGAAAACACCATTTCATACAGGTAAATGGTCGATTTAATGAACAATTTTCCATGGCTTACCAGATGGGTGGGTATTTCGGAATTGGAGTAACTCTACCGGAAGCCCCCAGTTTTTCGGGGTGGTGTTCAAAGCATGGTTTCCGATGTGACCAACTCAATCGGATGCTTGGGATTGACCCAACTCGTTGTAATTGGTAGAGGACAAGATGTTGAAATGTTGCTATGATGGATGGCAATGGCGGCAATGGTATCTAAAAATGATATATAACAAAATGATATATATAATACCAGTTGCAAATGGTATCATAATAATGGTATCGTTTTAAACATTGTGATAATACTCATATAATGATAACATAAAATAACATGTTGGAATCTTGGTGGTTTCTTGCAATTGGATTCATGGGATACGGCCTGCTGGTATGTGTAACATTGTTGGGTTTACCAGTTTACAATTTCCATCAATGTCCGACGTGTTGAAGTCATGCATTATATGATAAAATATGATAAATCATATGCCTATCTGCAACATTCTATTTCATCACTGTAATCTGTAATATTACCGAAAACAATAGAACACACTAATGTGGTAAACCCAATGATTTATTACCTCCCCTTTATAGAGGTTTATTCTGGACTTATTCCACGACAAAAATGGATCTATTTGGGATGAAAAAATGGATGATCTCCCCCAAATGGTTGGTCATTGGGATTGTTCAGACTATTGGCTTTACCACAAAAAAAATGTTGCTCCATGTATGAAAAACAAGTCCCAAGCTGCCAAGCTTCATTCCCCACCTGCGACCAAGGCTGATCCATATTATCACCTTATAGCCACATAAAAAGCCACATGACGGTCGAAGGTCATGGGAGCTTCAACTGAAAAATTGATCCAACCAATCCAGGTGCCAAGCTGGTTGGAGTGACGATGACGAAGGCAAAGATGCTGAATGATGCTGATCTTTGCCGGACTGGTCGAGTAAACCAATGTAACGCCAGTGGCAACAGTTTCTCTCCACTCTTGGTGGAGGTTGAGAAACCGGATGACTTGCTGCAAATTATTGTAAGTTGTATCTTGGTTCAGATTCAGCTCATAAATACCTCAGCATATGCTCGACCTTGCATGTTCTGAGTCATCCAAACGCTCTATTTGCAAGGATGTCTTGCTTGAGCCAAACAAATGAGACAGGTAGGATCTGGGATATGGGATGCTTCCTGTCCGCCCTATCCCGCCCTGCACTGTTTCCCAAAATCTTCACTCTGCCGTTAGTGATAATCCTCATCACAGTTGACCACACGGAATTTTCAAGCAATTCCTCGAAATCGAGAAGCGTTAGCCGAAGCCAAGAGACTTCGAAAGCGTATTGCTCCATGTGAATGGATGTGAATGGCAGCTCAACTCGATCTTCCCAAAAACTGTTGAAACCCAATGAGCCAAATCTGAGGTGATTTGGGATGAGATTCCAAATGATTCCAAGATCAATAAAGACAAACGTCTGCCAAGATCCGCATGTAGCAACTGGATGCCGCATGTCATTCACATGTCCCATGAACTGCTTGATTTGGACTTCTGACAAGGTGATTTGCATATCCTACATGCCAATTTCACAACCCCGAGAGAGGGCATGGATCAGTCAGTTGATTATGTTGATTGAAAAAATGCACTACTTTACTTCACTGTAAGTACCAAGTCAAGCTCGAAAACGCAGCGTTTACAAATCACGACAGCGGCGTGAAAACCTTGTGGATCGCCGTTGGTGCATCACTTTGGATCTTCAATCACCTGTCCAGTTGCGGATGAAGCCTCCAATTGCGGATGGGTTCTGTTCAATATGTCATACCAATCATTTGTCAAAATTGAGGATGGTTATGGCATTTAGATAATTCTTGTTGTCTTTGTTTTGCTTCTATATTGTGTTTCCCACATCAGTCACCAAACTTGCTGAATCAACACCGATTCTTTTCGCGCCTCGCAAACCACGACGTGCTTCCCAAAGGGAAGCCGGTTATCTCTCCTCAAACGGCTCGCACGAAAAAGTGGTTAATGCGGGTAAAACAATGCCCTAAACCATCCCCCAAATCACCATGGATAGGTGGTATAAACCCTTCCCAAATGGGTAGTTTAGTGTTTTTTGGGCCCATGGGTGCCCTAATTCTCAGATCAACATAAATCAATCCGCGGTATGTGCTTTGCCAATGGTCGGCATCAACTTCAACTTCCCAGCGGATGAGCGAGATTTTCGGCGCGAAGTCTGAAAGTGGTGGCCACTAAAAAGCCGTCCCATTGAAAATAGACCAAGCCAACAGCACTGGACCTCGCCGGTGCTGGGGCCACTTTCAGGCCTGGTGAAAACCCTACAGGGACTTGCCACGAAAAGTCAGAATTACAGACTATAGGTTAGATAATTAGACTTGAGCTGACTGATACAACTTACTTTCGTCTTTTTTCGATGGCGGCATTCCCATCTTGTGGCCTTTCGAACCATCACAACCATTTTGTAAATAAACTATTTGGCCGCAGCGCTTACGACTCTTTTTCGTCGCACTGCTCCTTGAAAGGATTCACTCGATGTCCGACTGTCCCAGCACCCACGTGAGGGGCACTCAGCAACCAATCCGCTACTGCACGGTCTCACCTTCTGCATAGTACGTGTCAAACACGGCCTCTGCTGTGCACAAATGATGCGGGCTGGTAGACTTTCAATAATTTTTCAATCATGAATGTAACTTCCCAAAACCCGTTTTCGTTTAGAATATTTTGTTTATTTTGTTTGGGGATAAAACTACAGATATCAAAAGACTCTACATGTCCTACCCATGTCCTACCCATCCAACTGTGGTTCTTGTCGATATGGCGAAAGGTGTAACTGGCAGAAACCATGGCCGTATGTATTTTCTAAGCAGCTGCCTGTACATTTGCTGTTTATGTAAGACGTCAAGTCTAGACTCCTGCGCTTGAGTGTCTCCATCTCCTTTCGATACTAATGTCATACAGATGGTCTGTATTATCTATATTTGCATGCAATCTGAATCTACTGTACTGTAATCTGGGCAAATAATAATAATTCACCAACCTGAATTAAGGCCATTTGGGGATGCTTCCCCTTATTAACCATGATTCCAGGGCTCGGTCGCAGTGAGGTCGTTATAATTTACCCAGTGTAATGTAAATGACATATAATATACTGTGGCGGTTGGGCCATGTTGGGCCCGTCCCGCCTGAACCTTTTTGATCTGAGGGGAGTCGTTGCTCCCAGAGAATGCCGCATTTTGCCTCAAGACGCATAGAGAAGTGCTTGGGGAAAATTGAAGTCTTTGCACATCGCCGGTCACTTGAATGCTTCTGATACACCTTCACATTGTCAAAATACATCAACTATAACTACAGCATCAAGAATTCATACTATTCATAATTCATCAGGCATGTAAGGATTGTAATGATTATAAGGTACTATGAATCATACGGTCATGAAATTCGCATCAAGAATTGCTGTCTCCCTCTCTCCGCCAGACGCTTCCAAGTAGCTGATTCACCTGGCGCCATAGCAACACCCCAGGATCCCCATTCTGTGCAAAGAAAATCAGGAACATCATCACTGTCTGCGATCACTATCATATATAATGTTGTTCCCTTTGAATATATATATATACATATACATACAAACATCTATACATATCTATACATATACATACATATCTATACATATCTATACATATCTATACATATCCATACATATCTATACATATCTATACATATATATATATATATATATATATACATATACATATATTCATATATACATATATACATATATACATATATACATATATATATACATATACATTTATACATTTATACATATATACATTTATACATATATACATATATATATACATATATACATATATATATATATACATATATATATACATATATATACATATATATATACATACATATACACGCATATACACATATATACATATATACATATATACATATATACAGATATACAAATATACAGATATACAGATATACAAATGTATATATATCCATATATATATACATATATACATATATACATCTATACATATATACATATATACATATATACATATACACATATACACATATACACATATATACATATACACACATATATACATATACACACATATATATATACACACATGCATATATATATATATTTACACACACACATATATATATATATATACATATATACATATACACATATGTACATATATGCATATATACATATATACATATACATATGGCTTTGATATGCTATGATGATATAATATGATGAACGTTAATATAAAATTCAATAATTATAATATATTTCAATATCAAATGATATATTATATCTGTATATATTTACATATTTTCATCCATAAATCAATGAAGCCTTCTGAGCTACAAGATCCTGCGGGATATCGCCTGGAAGACCAGAAATCCGATCGCCCTCAGCAGTCGAATTGCGGAACTCTCCACTGGAAATGTCATGAAATGTCTATGAATCATGGTTCAATGTTCAATTCACAATTTGAGATGATTTAAGGCTTTCCAATTTTTTTGGGGGCCTTTGATCAAAGATTCCTTCATCCTGAAACGAACATGTACGTTAAACTCTCGCCAATTCCAGCCATAATTTTCGCGGTGATATATATATAATGTTATATATAATATTATAATCCAATTTCTGTTTCCTGGGAAGATATAAAACTGCGTGGAAACGGCATTGGAAATGCATCGGCTAAGGGGTTCTCAAGACAGCTTCACTTTCGCCACTACCTTCGCTAAACTGTCGCGAAAACACGACTCCATTTCACACAGCCATAAATAAAATTGATTAAACTAAACTTGTGATATTTCTTTAGCAGGACAATCAGTTATATATACGTATATGCTTTAGCAACCTTGGAACCAAAAAAAAACTGCCGTGAGGGATAGTGTTGAATCGATCAACTTTCAAATTAAATTGGATGTAGGCTCAGCCCGAAACCCTGAAAATGAGATAAAATCTTTGAACGGGACATAATCATTCATATAACAAAAAAACATTAAAAAAACATGATCAACTGCGATTTTGTTGGTTGGTGCCTCGGACTGCTCTGCTCGCCAGGTTATTGGTCGTTGTCCGAGGCTCGTCACAGCAAGTAGCGCGAAGCTCACGATGGTGGCGACACTTCCAGAGTCCACCGGTTCGTCCCGGCGCAACTGCGGATCAATGCGAAAGCCAAGAAGAATCAAACAGATCGAAATGTAAAGCCCTACTAAAATATAGTGGTTAGTGGTAAATTATGGTAGATTATGGTAAATTAATATCCAATATTCAATTCAATATTATTCTAACTTTTTGGGGATTCCTAAGGTTTTAGCCGCAAGATCGTTTTTTGGAGGACACATCAGTATAATATCAGTAATTATTGAATCATATTCAATCAGTTCGACAGTTTGAAATGACTGGAAGTCATGGAATTCTGAATTCTTTTCTAGAGGCTGTGACAATGCCTGCCTCATCATCATAGTCGTCCTCATCGTCATCGTCATCGTAGGTCCTCCTACCTTATAGTTCTTCCCAGAAAATCCCAATGCCTCATGTTTGGTTAATTGTGGATTGTGGATGGAATTGTGATGATTTTGGTACCCTCTGGTAATTTAACATAGCTATTGACAATGACCATTTATAGTGGATTTTACCATTAAAAATTGTGATTTTCCATAGCTATGTTAAATTACCAGAGGGTAGGTTAAATGAAGTTTAATGAGTCATTGGACTTTCAGGATGACGAAAGGATGATACTTCCCCAACAAGCATCGCTGCATCGCTTCTTCCCGGCAGAGAGCCACTTAGAGATGAGCGCAGTGCCACAGCGATGTGCGAGCACTCCAATGCAAGCCAAGCTACTTGACATAGTCTGCAGGGCATGCAAAACAAATAAGCTGCACAGAAAATATGTCCACAATTCTCGCACATGTGGAGAATTTTGCACCACAAATGCAATCCAATGCACAATCTGCATGTCACAAGTGGAACTTCCCCAAATCAAGAATTAGAGCTGTGCTAGCTCCAACTGAGTCAACTCCACGTCTCAGATGTAGCAGTTTTCTCATCCCAAGCTGAATCCAATCTGCCCTGCCTTGCTGGCAGTCTTTGGCGCCGGCGAGGGCGTGTCGCCAAAGTCGAAATCGTCTCCGGCCCGGCGGGCGACGGAGGATCTGGCCGTTGAGACGGATAGATAGCCTGGGGCGGCATGGCTGCCCTTGGAACCGCCTTGGATCCCCTTGGTGCTTGATGACCAAGAATCCCCCGCAAAAAGTAGCTGGGTTGGTCCAAAATACCAAGAAACACGTTGTTTAGTCAGAAAATGATGAGATTTTCGGGTCAACCCAAAGCTCCAAACCCCCTTTCTGCACCTAAAGCTCCAAACCTCCAAAGACATGCCATGAGACAAAGTCCAACACCTCAGGGGCTCTGAAGGCTATTGGCTGGTGATTATCAAAGGACCCAGGATCCTTTGATTCAACTACAGTAGGTGATCAATGAGATACCCTCTGGTAAACTTACAAAAACTATATATGGAAAATCATCATTTCTTATATAATGGGTACATCAACTATATGTGGGCCATTTTCAATAGCTATGTTAAATTACCAGAGGGTAGTCGGTTGGCAATCTCGCCCGGCGAACTTGTTTATGTGGTGAAACTACAAAACAATTCTTTATCCAAGGTCTGAACATCCTCAAGGCACTCAGGGGTAACATCTCCAGGGCGTGCGACCAGGTCAGCCATATATTACAAGATGAAATTGCTCAATAGGTGCAAACAACCATACCATCCTTCATTTATACTAATGTTTATACTATGGTGAGCAAAATCAAGGCTTGGACAAGTCGGGGAATCCCCACACAAAATCATCACCCAACGAGTTGGGCTTCCATCCGCTGTCAAGAGACCAAAGCTCTTCCCCCGCGCCATAGTAGGCGCCCAGTTTGGGGTGACTCCAAGGGGCCTCGTCATGGTTGTTGAAATGTAATGGCACGAATATGATCATCATTATACATATATAATATATACCTCTGAGTGACTTATATTGGTTCACCAACTTGAGACAAGGTCATCAGGTAAATAAAAAATGACTTCTGACTTGGAAAATCCTTCGGCAACGCAAGGCTCATCCTGGCTGACATGCTTTCATCTGTTTTCCTCAGAAATCCCAAAGTTCACCTAGGCCACCAGTATGCTGATTGCCAGCTGTCGGGCAACCCATTTTGAAACAACAAATCACCAAACAATTTGGACCCTGTCAATGATGCGCCTGGTTAGCCCTGGATCTCTTCAAAGCAGCTTGAACCGAAGTAGCGGACAGATCGAATTGGCCCGCTTCAAAATGGGTTTGTGGGGATATAACTATAGTTTCTGGTCAAAGTGGATTATAAACCAACTTATAAATGGGGGGCACAACATGGCACAACCCTGTTGGTTCTGCAGTTTTCTGAGCACGTGCTGCACTTGCTCTTGAATTTCTAGACGCTTATCTTGTTGACACCCAACATGGCCTCAGCTCTTGTCTTGACATTCACCTTGACTATCTTGCGCTAAGGCTAGAAATCATTCCATGGTTATACTGCGCCTTCGGCTACAAAATGTAACCACAAACATCTACGAACCGAGGCCGCAACACTGAAAAGAAAGCCCCTTTTCTCAATTTTACCCCCATAAATGGCCATGAGTCGTAGCACTGTCATCCGCTGTCCTATGGCCCATTGTCAAGGACACTGCTATGTCGATGTAGATGAGACAGTTGGCGCCTGCGCAGCCCCGCATCTGGGATTCATCCACAATCAACAAGCAATAGAGAAACCATCGAAAAACAATAGAGAAACCATCAACCTGCAATAGAGACACATACAGTATCAGACATTAATATACAGTATACACCATCAATATCCATCAATGAAAAAAAATCAATTGTAAGATTACAGTAACATTCGAAAACCACGATGACTCGACGTGCACCTGCGTGGTCGTGAGCCTGCAGGCAAGTCACCCGCCATTGAGCCTGGAGTCTGGTGGTGTTTCAGAATTCCAGAGGCCATAGTGGACAACATTGTCGGATATGTCATGGTTTTCCATGGATATTCATGGATATTCCATCTATATTCAGGGATATTCATGAAAATTCATGAAAAATCCTGGTTTTTCATGGAGTCATATGAATGATCCACAAATGGGATGGCCAAGTATGTATCATCTATATGATGCATATTCACGTGCTATCTTCAGGATGCATGAAAATGCTAAGTTGGCCTACCAGCCAGCCCTGCGGACACATGCACACTTAGACATGCCAGAAACAAGGTCTTCTTGCAAGAAACCACTTTCTTCTGAACCAAATCCATCCGTGAATACAGGTTTTGCCAAATATGTTTGCATCAACTATGTTTCCAGATGGAATGTGATCACATCCAAACATCACTAAACAATACTAAATATCATTGAATATCACCAAATAAATGATATTTAGTATTATTGACCAATAATACTAAATATATCGAAATATCATCCAAACTATCACTCACTAAATGTCAAAAACTCCATCTGCAACCTCGGGAGGTCGGTGACTGTTGAGAGCTAGACCTCGCAGGAGAGGCCATGGCTGGTTTCAAGATGGCCAGTTTATGCCAGTTTCTCAAAAAAGTCATGGACTTGGAAAGGGAAGACTGTATTCCATCCCATTAAATGGACAATTGACAATTCAATGGACTATTAATTGATAAACCGACGTGTAATGAATATCCAATTCTTGTCCTCTGGTCATGAAACGTGGCGATAACCCACCATGAATGGAGGTTTTAATTGGTTTTAATGGGAAAAGGATCTGTAAATTCCCATTGCCACGTTTCAGAATGCTGGAGGCTAACCGTTCTCCAAATTTGGTCAACTTCCCCCAGGATGTTCCTCCACGGGGAGAAGCTTCTATCAGTATGAAACTACTACCTAGATCCTCCAAATACCGAAATACCACCAAAAAAACTGTTAAGATAGTTGAACTATCTTAAAATACTAAAACATACTAAAACTATGAGGTGAAACACAACTTTTGTGAGTACTTGGAGGGTCTCGGTACAAAGACAATATGAGACAAGTCCAAGGCACATTGATGGGGACAAATCTGGTTCATCGAGAGGTGCATCTGCGAATTTCACCGCAGACCTTCGGAAAAAAAGAATGATGGCCGTTGGCCAAAAAAAACACCCATCTAAATGGCTGGGTGTCTGGACGATCGGTCTTTTTAAGTAGCCTCCTTCACAAATCATTTCACTAGACTAAGACTAAGAAACGAACAAAGCAATGCCTTCCAGATTTCTTTTCTTCCGTGCTACGTTGTCCAACAATGGGGTATTACCGGTATACCCCAATTATCATCAATTATCCCCAATCTATGGAATCTTGGTGCGGAAGATAGTGATGCTCAACTCAAGTCTGTTTCCGGGAGTTTCGGGCTAAGTACGTTGCCTTTCTACGTTCAAGTTCAGTTGCAGAGAGGCCTCTCAAACAGCTCAAGGTCAGATCTGTCCAATGAAATGTGGCTTGCTATTTCCTGAAACGATCACCACAAAACAATGAAACGTCTAGAGTCTACAGCAATTCAAAACTAACCTACAAATATCATACATCAACGTCGACCAATGCCTCAGCCGGTGCCGCTTTGGGCACACCTTTGGAAGGGCCCTTAGGGCCTTTCCTGAGACCACAACGGGATTTCGAGTTGTTTTTGAAGATCAATATGATAAATTTTTGGAGACCCAAATTTCGAAGCATATGAGCTCAAGGCAAAGGACTTGCCATCTTCCATGTGTTGTGTTTCTCAGCTTCAAACTTTCCACCTTTTCCAGGTGCGGCTGAGCTCTCGGTCGCCACCTTTCCAGTGCTGTGGAATGAGCCAAATTGGCCACATCAAACCTGGATCTTTCGTTCGATTCCGACGAGTTGTTTTCAGGCCTCCGCGGACTCAACGGGCGCTGGCTGCGGCTCCTGAGGTGCCCGGTTGCCCTCCCGTTTTGGATCAGCCGTGTTTGATGAGATGAATAACATGCGAATTTAAATGGAGTTTTTGATGTTTAGTGTATTTCAATATGATGCTTAACGTATTTCAGTACATTTCATTTCAGCAAGTTTGTCATTGAGAAAAAATTCTACGAATAAGGAACACTTCGCCAAGAAGATGTCATAGATTGAATATGGTCATTGTCATGATTGAATGCTAATTTGAGAAAAAAATCACATACAATCAATCCCACTCGCCTCAAGCTTCTCTGCCGGTGGCCTTGCAGGTGAACCACCCGGAAATCTCTGAACTCCGGGGCTGATCGAAAAATGTTTGTTGGTCGTTTAAACCTGTTTGAACAGGTTTCCACCTGCTTCAATCTGTTTCAGTTTGTTTCAAGCCATGCAATTCTGGGTGTGTCCAAAGAGAGCATAGCATACCCATGCATACCCAAAAAACATCCAACGGTTTATCAACTATAACTTATAACAATTTATAACATCTATAAATTAGTATATAAACATCATAAACATATCATTTTCCAATATTTTCCAATGGTTTATCATCCATAACATCATTTTCCTCACAGAAATCTTGGAGCTGCTCCAATGAGCTCCAGGCGCTGCGGGTCCTTTCGCACCCTTGCCGGTCCTGGGTGGATTGGGATGAATCCCCTGGTTTACCAATAAGTTATCAATAAGTTTGAAGCAATAAGTTTGAATCACCAAATATCATTTGTATCGTTTGAATTTGGATCAAGAATGAGTGAAAGAGTAGGATTGAGATGAATAACCTATAGGATTGATAATGCAAATCAAATGCACTTCTTTAAAATCAAAGAAGTATCAGTATAAGCAATCAAAGTAAAAACAATAAGATGCAAGCACTCCAAGCTGGCTATATAATGGTTTGAGTGTTTGGGTGATAACAATGGCTACTAGGAAATCACAAGGGCTGAATGATGGATGTGATGCGGTCCAAAGAACAATTGGTCTAAGAATGATTGAACTAAACCTGGTAGTTTTGGCCCCCAGGCTCAAGAATCGCAAGAATCGACCAAGCAACAACAACTGGGCATTGCAAATATTGAAAGATTCCCATCTTGCTTCACTATGCTGTGGCGCTGAGCATTTTTTCAAATGAAACACCACCAGGGACCACCATTCTACGAAGACCAGGGGTCAATTTCTGCTTTGGTCATTAACAGGAAATGAGGTAGTGCTCAGCCCTTATCTCAAATAGTTACCCCGATAAAATCAAGTTTAGTATTAGGGTGTATTCCATGCAAGGGTCAAGGGATCATCAACTCACCCTGCACTGAGGATCCAAACGCCTTACCCTTGGGCCCTTTTCCTGGGACATGACGCGCCGAGGACATCCCGGAAGTAATGAGAATTATCTTCATGATTCTTCATGCACCTGTACCTGTACCTCTGGAAAAGGAAATGGATGCACCGTACAAAATCTGAAGTTTGATGCTTGACTGTTGCAGTATTGCCGCCCATGGCCCCCTCCACCCACACAATTGATCCATTTCAGGAGGTTGAAATGTTTGAGCAACACAATTTGCGCCATGACCCAGCAAACTGCCGCTATCTCCAGTCTCCTGCCGCTGGTGCTGCAGCTTCAGCTCCAGCTTCAGCAGTTGGAGCGGCCTGGACATTCAACATGTGAGGCGTTTCATATCCTTGTTTTTTCAGCTATGTCTTTGGCCATCTCTCTCTCTCTCTCTACGAAAATATATAGATAATTATAGATATACAATGAGATCATAAATAAGCAAACAAATATCATCACCCTGTTGAGGGGGAGGGGGGGTCTAAATGAAATATTTCATTTGTGGATACCCCCCCCCTATACATATACAATCAAAATATATCAAAATCACCCCCTCCAAAGACAAGAGGCTAAAATTTATGGATATCGTGTTATGTATGCGTATATCATCCGAATATACATATATAAATATGATATTATATGATAATATATGATAATATATGATAGTATATGATAATATATGATAATATATGATAATATATGATAATATATGTATACCCGGATCCCCCGCAGACCAGAAATTTGGTCTGGAGTGATTCAGTCTACTAATCAGACTGATTCCAGAAATCTCGCCTGAGGTGAATTTTTTCGGCTGAAGTGGCTTTGCTCAATTTTCACCAAAACATTCAACAACGTATATTAGTGATAAGAAATAAGACATGAGAACTTCAGGTTTTTGTCCAGAGGGGGGGCATCCCTTGAAATTTCATTTATTGTGTTTCATTTTTTTCCATTGATCAGAGATTTCAATCAGATTTAGCGGGCTGCCCAAAGCCATTTTGGATCATGAGCCGGCCGCGTCAGTGCTGTAGCTGAAGCCTCCCCCTGCCCTGTTGCAGCTCCACCTCGCACCGCCACGGCCTTCCTGAGGCGAGATCATCCCCTGCACATGCGCAGGATTGGATGCCATTGGATGAAGTGGATGAAAAGATGGATGGAAAAATGAATAAAACTCCTTATCACCATCTTGCTGATACACAAAATGAAATGCATCACCCAAGAGCAGTGGCAACATAGGGGGTATTTAAGTTGCATGACACATCTGCGAAATGTCTGGATTTGATATGATATTTATTTTATTTATAAAGGCTTTATCTGGATTGTTAAGGGGATTTGATATGGGATTCTAGGGATTTAGTGAGTCATTAAATCTCTATTGTCAAACCCAGCCCATTTCCATATGGAGGTTTCCTAAAATACAGTACCCCCAAATCATCCCATTTATAGATGGATTTCCCATGACATAAACCATCCAGCTATGGGGGTACCCATGACTTAGGAAACCTCCCATATATGTTTTGGTTTTGATCCATCCAGAAGGGGTTAACCAATGACGGATTTTGCATCACCTTTGGCATTCACCGGCGTCCACTTGAGCTCACTTTTTCATGGCTAGTTGGCCCCTTGGTAGCCTCTGGGATTGAATGACTCATCTATGGCTCTGCCAGCTGTCGTGGTGCTTCAGTTCATCCATGTCCGTTGTTTCATCAAAAAACACAAATTCCCTGGGTCTTGCCGAAAGCTCCACTCCAAAATTATCCAAACATCTCCATCAGTTGGAAGCCTTTTGGCAAATTTCGTTGGAACAACTGGGGCTGTCTGAAAATTGAAGGGAACGTCCCCAACTTTGATGGGTTGAGCATCAGTTTCCCTATGGGTTGAGTGGCCAAACATTGGGGCATTTTCCCCAAGTCATTTCATCCCTGGCGCGTCAGGCAGTAGTGCCGAAGCCGTTGAATTAGCCCCTGTGGAAGAGAATTGACATCTCCGATGTGGGCCCTCCAGAGGAGGCTGATGGTTGGGATATGTTGGGATTTTCTCATGTCATGGGGTTATAAAAACATACTGAAGGAATCGGAAATATATTGAAAGACAAAGTATGCATAGACCGTCTCAAAGCTGTTGTTCCTTTTTGTGTCGTATCATGTACACATCAATTCAGCTTTTGCCAGCGGAATGCCGCAGCTCACACTCCGCCAAGTCGCAGGCATCCTCGAGTTCAAAGAGACTGGAGTACAAATATGTCATTCGGCGCCCTCCTGGTGTCAAGCCTCCCACCCGCACTGGTTGGACTGTGTCAGGGACAAGCGCAGAAATTTGGGCGAATCTTTGGGCATCCAGCTTGGAGCCCCTTTTTGAAGTTTCTCAGGGCCATTTGGGGCAGGTGAAATCCAAAACACGCATGGTTTGTGCTGCTTTCCAGGTTTCAAGCTGTGTGCATTTCCGCGGTAGATTCTTATCACGGCCAAGCCGCAGGAGGAGGGGCCTGAGATTCTGGAGCATAGCCAGGCCGCAGCAGCACCAGAAGGGCAGCCCCGCGGCTGGTGCATTGCAGTGGTTGGAAACCTCTGTGAGTTTTGTGAAAGTCTGGGTAAACCACGGGAAAACTAGAACATCCCATGGTTATTCCATGGTTTGGAAAGCAACTTCCTCACTAAAATGGCGAATGGAGAGTAAATCCACGAGTGTTTTTTTACAAAGAAACACCATGCAGAAACCATAATTCAGTAGTCTTTGTATAGGGGATTGGAAATGTATTAGGAACAGTGACTACTAGACTGCATCTCGAGATAACTTCAAGTTCAATTTTTATATTCTTATTCTTTTATAATTTTGATTTCGGTTCCGGATTCGGGCGCCACATTCGGGCCCCGGATTCGAGCCCCTGATTCGGGCCCCGGATCCGGGTCCCGGATTCAGGCCCCGCATTCGGGTCCCGGATTCGGGTTCCGGTCCCGGGTTCGGGTCCCGGATTCAAGCCCCCGTGTGTGAGGAAGGTGGTTCATTTACTGAATGAATCAGTAGGGAAGTTTGGTAGGCAGATGTAGGCAGGTAGGTAGGACCTAGGGGCGCAAGGAATGGCAGGAGATGGTATCAATGCATCAATTGGTATTGCAATGCATTGCAAACATGTAGCCGTGGGAAAATGAAGATGTCTTTCATTAACGTTTGATCCTTTCCTTTCTCTTCGATGGGGGTCCGCAGCATGATATTATATTTGCGGCAAACTCGAGTAGGTGATTCTATCATCGGTTCTTAACCTATTTTCCTCTGCCACAGTCAAATTGAATATGCCGTGGCCATGGGGATTTAGTAAATTTAGTAAATGCAATGCTTACGTTCACTACGTAATTGAACACATAGGAACAGATGCAAACAAACAATATTTCCCGAGTCTTTGTTAAATATGTTAACGCGGGATTTATTGTGTGGCCACAGGGATTTAGTAGGTGCCAAGCTCAGAAGCGTTATTTTGTCAGCAGTTGAAAGCATAGGAACGCATGGAAGGAAACACTGTTTTCCAAGCGCACAGCATCACCGGAACCTTACTTTACGCCGCACCAGAGGCAGAAGAGTGTGCTGTACCACTGTACCAGACATTGGCCAATCATTTTGAGGTCGAATCTATCCTAATCAATAGCTTCGTTTTCACGCTTGCAGGTAAATAGATAGATAGATAGATAGATAGATAGATAGATAGACAACTACAACTACAACTACAACTGCCACTACACTACAACTACAACTACCACTACAACTACAACTACCACTACAACTACATCACACTACACTACGCTAACTGCAGTACACCACATTACAGCTACAACATAGTGACCCCCTCGGCCACTGAAATTTTAGGGGAGGGTATGTGAAAGAATTTCTGAAATATATTTCGCTTGCACGTCTGGAGCAGTTTGGCTCACAAATGCATGTATGGCATCGCAGGTATGATGAAATCCGTGCTGTGAAACAGATTTGGGCATATCGGCATATCATTCCCATATTGGGGCACCAACAAAAGTCATTTTCAACAGAGCAAATGATTGAAAATCATCATATAATATAAAACATATAATATAAACAATCCACCTGGGGGGTTCCGAAATTTGAGACATAGACATCCGGCTTATGACTCTCGGATGCCGAATCCACTGCTGTCGAGTGCGACAAGAGATTTCAAGCCCAGCTCCATGAGTCTTGGCGAAGGTGCCACGCGTCCTGTAGCTCCACGTTCTACCATCCAGAACTTGGGGGTTGATAATACCTTATTCAGGGCCATTTAACACCAGGTTTAACTTCATCCGAGTTCGTGT